TGCCTCTCGATAAGCGAGTTGCTTCAATCGAGTTCGTATATGTGCTCCAGAGGGGCTTGCTGTGTTGGGCGGCGAGCCTTGAAGCGTCACAAGAAAATGGAGATGGAACCATCATAGTTGCTTGCCCAGCTGACCGTCGTGATAGCTACGGCAGCTACGGTAATTTATTGCTCGCACGAGAGGCCCTCCGAATCGCACGCTGCACACGTGCTGCGGATTATTTGGATGAGCTATTCCGTAAGGCCTGTGAGCACATCAGGTTGCCGAGCTCGGGCGACGAACGAGTTTTGAATCTACTACGGGGCTCATCGAGCGGTCTGGTGAAGGAGCTCTGCCAGGCTGCTGCGGACGAGCATGTGGGACAGGACTGGTTAGATGCAGCCAAGGAGAGCGTTGAGTGTGTCAGAGAATCTGGTGTGGCAGCACATGTCATAATTGTATTGAGAGACGAGAGGAACCCACTAAGTACGGCTGAGCAGCTCTGGCTCTTCTCAACCATCGCAGCTACCCGCCTCAACCCGATGATGAAGCCCTTCCACCTTGATCTGGCGGAAGCTCGTGAGAGACTCGCCTTACAGGCCTCGGACGAGACCGAAATCCTGGACGAGATTTCCACTGTGATTGGTGTGCCTCCCATGGGTATTGATATACGCAAAGGCTCTCTACGTATAGGAATGGGGGTGATTGGTCATCTATTGAAACACGAAGCAGCTCTGGTAGCACCGAAGTCTCGACAAGAACGCTGTGAACGTATACTGAAGACTTGTATGTCCCGGAAATATGCTGCTAAAACAGTGAGGACGGTTGTCCGAATACAGTCCCTGTACCGTAGTTGGTTTGAGCGCAAGGAGAGCCTAGAGAGAGTCCCTAGAGCGCTCAACTGTCTCTTCGGGGCGCTCTGTCTCCTACGCCGTGTTAACGAGTTTTCGAAGCGTCACGCTGCTGTGGTGCACCTCCAACGGACTTGGCGACGTAAACGTACAAGAATGAAGTACGCCAAGGCCATCATGCAGCTCAGACGAATCCGCGCCAGTATTGTCATTCAAGCCTTCTACCGCAGGCTAGTCGCGACAAGGATCGTCGATGAGCTGCGGCTGAGGCAGAGTAGAGTGTATTCCATCGAGATCATACAGTGCTTCATCAGACGCTATTTGGATCGTCGTACGCTTCTCGATAGAGCCTTCCGTCTGAGAGCAGAAAAATCTGCTGTGCTCATACAGGCGCACTGGCGTGGGGTCCTCATCAGGCGTTGGTGGGGGAGAGTACGCGGAGGTCTCCCCTGGCTGGCGTTGATAGTTAAGTCCAAGCTTATTGCTATGAACGAAGCCCAGGTTAGGCTGGCAGCATGGTGGCGAGGTGTTGCGACCAGAGTGGTACGCTCGGGGCCGGGCCAGCGAGTTTACGAGTTCATGTGTGCAGCAAGAGAAGGCATCAGGGAGGAAGTTCGCCAAAATCGGTCAGCACGAAGAATCCAAACTCGATGGCGAAGCTACAGGCTGGTTCGACAGTTGAAGACTTTGACCAAGACGTCATATGATATACAAGCTGCGATACGGACGATATCATGGCGGCGTTGGTGGGTATCGCTAAGGCGAACAGTTATCCATCTGCAACGTAACTTCCGAGCCCGGGGCGAGTTGGCCGAGATGGAAAGGCAACTTCGTGCGAATGAATGGTCGGTACGGAGCATCACTCATCAGATGATACCCATAGCATTGAGTCGTGATATTTGCGTTATTCATGCCCCAGAGAACGCCGAGGAAACTCTTAGATCGGCGTTCGATACCAATGAGCGCAATCATGGCGGCGACTTGCATATTTTCGGGTCTCGCTGTAAGCATGTTATCGCCCTCAAACAAGGCTGGCTGTGGGTATCTGGTCACGTTGTGCCGCCCCCGCCTAGGCTCGAGGCTGTTACCGTTAAGACTATTGCATGTGGTTCCCAACACGTCTTATTCACTTGTCACGAGACAGAGCTCTGCTTCGCATGGGGTTCCAACTCGATGGGACAGTGTGGATTACCACAAGATGCAGTGGCGTTCCTGAGAACACCCCTGGTTATACCTCTCAAGGGGTCGGATGGCAGAGTGAAGTTCATAGCGGCTTCAGGGAAGACCTCAGCCTATGTGACGAAACGCCGGCCTTCCAGGGTCCATGTCATCGGCCAGTGTATCGAATCAGAATGCGCAACTGTTGGAGATTTTGGTGAAGACGCCATCATCAGAGTTGTCCTCTCAGTATTCGAGGACGCCTCACAACGGGTCCTCCGGCCCTGCGTTTTCGTCCTGACAGCCACGGGCGAGCTCTATTCATGGGGTGACAATACGTGTAAACAACTCGGAAGGCCGACAGAGTATTCCCAACACTCTCGGATACCTGGCAAGGTTGATCTGGACGCGGAATCAGCGGGTCGCATAGTGCAAGTGTCAGTGGCCGCTGGCGCCGTGTACGTCTTGGCTGTTACTGACGCGGGTGAGGTCTTTGCGTGGGGTACCGTCATGCGCGCTCATGCGGGGGGTCCTCCAGAAGCCTTCAATTTCGATAGGCCGACCAGCGTTATCCTACCCCTTGAAAACACTGTGGCCATCCAAGTTGCTGCCTCTTGGAGTGATAGATGGTTCGTCGTGCTGGCCCCGCAGTATTCTGTCTGGTGCTGCCGGGGACTTCGTCGCCGTGGTGCTTTCGCTGTGGTTGAGAATGCCGATCCCATCAAGTGGCCAGCGACAAGCTATGAGTCCCGAGCTGGTCGAGCGTTACTACAGTGCAGCAACTCGGTGAAGGGCAGTTTGGTCTACGTGGTCTTCGAGTGAAAGGACGTCATATCGATGATGAGAATCATTACATTCGCATAATACATCTTTTTCTGAATCGATCCTCGAGCTGTGTTTGAGCCGATAACCTAGTGTAATAGTGGGGTCCTGTATTTCTCACATCGGGTACGGCAATACACTGGACAAGTTGAGTACCACTAAATATCTGCCTGTTCAGGGGGTATGGTAATATATGCAAGAGAAATGGGAAAATGGAACGACTGCCTGGCTCGGAATGACGCAAACCCTTGCAGCCTTTGCATCCGTAGATGAATCCACTATGTCGTCACGACATAATATTCCGGCCTTATGCCCACCCCTATGGATCTGTATCATCCACCCCTGGGGGTATCGCGACGATATAATAGAGGGATCGTACACTAATCGAACACGAGACGACGGCTCATAAGAAACGATGACGCGAGGTGAAGTGCGGTCAGGAACGTTACATAGCAACGACGTGCGACAGTAATGGTTTACTATACAACAGTTGATTATCTCTTCTTCTTGTTCCCTTGGGCGAGTTTCTGGAGGATCATTTGGTGTTGTCTTTTCCTGCCTCCACGTCCACCCTTCTTCCCCGCCAATGCCCTGAACGGATTGCCAATAACACACTCGCCTTTTCCTGCTAGTAGTACTCTTTGATGTCCTCTTCCTGCTCTCGCATCTCCAGCTGTGTCGAGCCTACAATAACCACATAAAATTTCACAGCTTAAGGGGCTTCTCCCAAGGGACTCACGGAGAGCTTCCAAGACCTTCTCTTGTAGCGACATGGCGCTTTCCTCATTGACCTCAGGGAACTCCTCCATCTTCTTGCCTGCCATCGTCATTAACGTTTCCATTGCGAGAGACTTCACCTTGTTTATTCTCGATCCTCTGGAAGGGCTCAATATCATACTGAGTGACCAAGGTCACCGAGCGGCCAGTCCGACCAGCCCGTGCAGTACGCCCCACTCGGTGGATATACTCCTGCGACAGAAACTACCGTGGACTCGCCCGAACAGGCAGTACCTCAGGGTTCTTGGGCACGTCGAAGTTGATGACGACATCTACACTAGGAATGTCCAAGCCTCTCGCTGCTACATCTGTTGCTACGAGGATCGATCGCGTGCCTGCAGTGGATTCATCAAGACGATATAACAGTAAGATTCCTTACCAGCCCGGAACTGGTTGAGGGCTCCAAGGCGATGAGTCTGCGTCATCTTGCCATGTAGGCATACACAGTTGTGGCCGAGGTGCCTCAGAGTAGTGGCCATCCGCTGGGCATTAAGACAGGTGTCAACGAAGATCATCACAGTACCTGACCGTAAGATAGAGACTATGGTGGACCTGAGTGCGGGAGCGTACTGAGTTTGAAGTGAGCTAGGAGGGCCGCCAAATAGGCATGCTTATGCTTGTGGGGCACGAACATGTAGTTTTGAACCAAACCTTTGGCCACGTCGAACCTGGAAGAGACATTTCCACGACAGTTCAGGTTGGAGTCTGGATGCTACTTCCGTGCAACTTCGCACT